CCTAATATGGATGGACTTCGTGAGTTGATTCTTGAGGAGGCCTACAGTTCCCGGTATTCTATTCATCCGGGTGCCGTCAGGACTTGCGGCAACATTATTGGTCGAGGAGGATGAAGAAAGACATAGTTGCATATATAGCTCAGTGTCTAAATTTCTGGCAAGTAAAGTACGAGCATCAGAGACACGGTGGTTTGCTTTAGAAGATAGAGATTCCTGAGTGGAAGTGGGAGCGTTTCACTATGGATTTTGTTGTTGGACTCCCACGGACTCAGAGAAAGTTCGATGCAGTTTGGGTCATTGTGGACAGGCTGATCAAGTTAGTGCACTTCATTCCTGTGGAAGTTACCTATTCTTCGGAGCGGTTGACAGAGATTTAGATTCGTGAGATCGTCCGTCTTGACGGTGTGCCCAAGTCTATCATTTCTGATCGAGGTACACAGTTCACCTCGCACTTCTGGAGGGCAGTACAACGTGAGTTGGGTACGCGGGTTGAGTTGAGCACAATATTTCATCCTCAGACGGACGGGCAGTCTAAGCGCACTATTCAGATCTTGGAGGATATGCTCTGCGTATATGTTATAGACTTCGGAGGATCGTGGGATCAGTTCTTGTCCCTTGCAGAGTTCGCCTACAACAATAGCTACCAGTCGAGCATTCAGATGGCTCCCTATGAGGCATTATATAGTAGGCGGTGTCGGTCGCCAGTTGGGTGGTTCGAGCCGGGGGAGGCTCGGTTGTTGGGCACAGACTTAGTACAGGATGCCTTGGATAAGGTCAAGATTATTCAGGATCGACTTCGCACAGCTCAGTCCAGGCAGAAGAGTTATGTCGACCGCAAAGTTCGTGATGTTGTATTCATGGTCGGAGAGAGAGTGTTGCTTCGGGTATCACCCATAAAAGGTGTAATGAGGTTCGGAAAGAAGGGCAAGTTGAGCCCTAGGTATATCAGACTTTTGAGATTCTGGAGAGAGTGGGAGAGGTGGCTTACAGGCTTACGTTGCCACATAGTTTAGCAGTTATTCATCCGGTATTCCATGTGTACATGCTTCAAAAGTATCACGGCGATCCGTCCCATGTGTTAGATTTCAGCTCTGTCCAGTTGGACAAGGATTTGACTTACGAGGAGGAGTCGGTGGCTATTCTAGCCCGGCAAGTTCTCCAGTTATGAGCAAAGAGTTACCCTTCAGTTCGAGTGCAGTGGAGAGGTCAGCCTATTGAGGGAGCTACTTAGGAGTCCGAGTCCGATATACGGAGTAGATATCCCCACCTTTTCACCAGCTTAGGTACTTTTCTATGTCCGTTCGAGGACGAACGGTTATGTTAGAGGTGGAGAATGTGATGACCCAAAAGGTCATCTTATGTTTTAGAACTCGATTCTGCGCTCTTAAGCCTTAAAAATCTCATTTTTTACCCTCCTCTATTTACGTGCACAGTCCGGTGTGTTTTCGAAAAACTTTTATGTTGAAATTGATGAAAATAAGAATTTTTACCTTAAAAGTTGATTTTAGTTGACTTCGGTCAATATTTTTGGTAACCGGGTCCGGATCCGTGTTTGACAATCCCAGTGGGTCTGTATCGAATTATGGGACCTGGGCGTATGCCTAGAATCGAATTCGGAGGTCCCTATATCAAGTTATGAATTTTTGATGAAAATTAAAAATCTGAAAATTAACTATTTTTAAAAATTGATTGATGTTTGGCATTGTTAGTACCGGGTCGGTATTTTGATTTCGGAGTCCGGTACAGGTTCATTATAATATCTAAGACTTGTCTGTGAAATTTGGTGAGAAATGGAGTTGATTTGACGTGATTCAGACGTCCGGTAGTGAAGATAGAAATATTAAAGTGCTCTTGAGAATTTTATTTGATTTGGTGCTAAATTCGTAGTTCTAGGTGTTATTTTGGCGATTTGATTGCGCGAGCAAGTTTGTATGATATTTTTAGACTTGTGTGCATGTTTGGTTTGGAGCCCCGAGGGCTCGAGTGAGTTTCGAAAGGCTACGGGATATTTTGGACTTAGAAAATCGGGTATTTTTGCTGTATCTCGTATCTATTATGTTGTGCTTCGCGATCGCGTAGTCACTCTCGCGATCGCGAAGGGAAAACTGGGCTGGGGAGGATTTTACTCTACGCGAAGGCGAGACCATGGTCGCGAACGCGGAGCATTGGGGGGAGTTGCTCTACGGGAACGCGACCCGTCGAACGCGAACCCGTAGCTTTAGCTAGGCTGGGCAGGGGACCTGGGAAACACTATGTGAACGCGAGCCTTGTCTCGCGAACGCGAAGGCAAGGCGGGGTAAGCCTTTGCGAACACGTAAAGCCTCCCGCGATCGCGTAAGTCCTTAGGAGGCTGCCCGTCGCGAACGTGGCAGTGTTCACGCAATCGCGATGAACACTGTCGCCTAGCACTTAACAGAATCCAAAAACGGGAATTGGCCATTAACTCATTTTCTCAAAAACCAAACGGGCTAGAGGCGATTTGCAAGAGATATTTTCTTCCCCAAAGTGTTGGTAAGTGATTCTAAACCATTTTTTTTTTCAACTACCCGTTACATTTCATGAATTTTCAACCTAAAGTCTAGAGTTTTTATGGTAGAATTAGGGGTTTGGTTAGAAACTAGGAATTTCGAAAATTTGGGGATTTAGACCTCAATTTGAGGTCGGATTCCAAAACCAATTATATATCCGGGCTCGGGGGTGAATGGATAAATGGATTTTGGTCCGGACCTCGGGTTTTGACCAAGCGGGTCCGGGGTCGAATTTTGATTTATTTGGAAGAAAATTTGGGAAATCTAAATTTATGCAATATAATTGATTCCTTTAGTAATATTTGATATTATTGAGTCATTTTTTGAATAGACGCGAGTGGTTTGGAGGTGAATTCTAGAGGAAAAGCTGTGATTGAGTATTGAGTGACCTTCGGAACGAGGTAAGCATCGTGGTTAACCCTGACTTGAGTGAATTAGGAACCTGAGATTATTTTCTATGTGAAATTCATATGAGCAGCGTATATGTGAGGTGACGAGTACTTATGCGCCGCCAATTTACCAGTTTGTTTTCCTTGTTTCTCCCATTTTTCTTATATTGTCTCTTTCCCATGCCTAATTGCTACAGGTTTAGTCTAATATTGTTAAATTAATCGTTTTTGTCATGTTTACGGATCTTCTGGTGATAATTGAGTAATTATTTCGAAGTTGAGATTGATATTGTAGAATCAAATGTTGAAGTAAAGCTTGTACTTGTTATTCTATTTCCCTGTTGTTATTTATTCATTGCATTATGGTAAGGGAGATTGTTAATGCACGAAGGGTGATGCCGTGCCATGATATGAGAGTTAATGCATGAAGGGTGATGTTGTGCCATATTATGAGTGTAAAAGCACGAAGGGTGATGTCGTGCCATATTGTGAGTGTTAATGCACGAAGGGTAATGTCGTGCCATGATATGAGAGTTAATGCACGAAGGGTGATGCCGTGCCGTTTCTATTGTTTTTATGGTGAGATTGAGAGTAAAAGCACGAAGGGTGATGCCGTACATTTTTTCTTTACTGCATTCATTGTTTCTGTTGATTCACAATATATTGGTTGTTCCAGTCATCATTCTGCTGTAGTTCCTTATCTCGCATTTCCCCCAGCATGTTTTTTCCTCCCGATATTTCCTGTCTAACTCTTCATTACTGTTATTTGTATATACACTGTTAAATTATACAGGTTGATTTGTAGGTGCCTTGGCTTAATCTCATCACTACTTTGTCGAGGTTAGGCTCGACACTTACCAGTACATGGGGTCGGTTGTACTGATACTATACTCTGCACTTTCTGTGCAGATTTTGGTATCGGCTCGGGTTGATCAAGATTTTTCTACTGGACCGCTATCCGGAGACTCAAGGTAGATCTGTCGGCGTTCACAGACTTTGAAGTCCCCGTCTATCTTTTATGTTCTACTGTTTTTTTCATTCAGACAGTTGTATTTCTTTTAGACTATTACTTGTAGTGAATTTCAGAATGCTCGTGAATTGTGACTCTAGATCCGGGTGGTAGAAATTAATGCAGTTTTTATATTATTTCGCACTCACTATATTCCATCTTAGCTAATTGTTGTTATTTACTTAATGGAATAAGGATTGGTTTAATGATTCTCTAACGTTGGCTTGTCTATAAAGAGAAATATTATGCGTCATCACGATCTCGACGGTGGGAATTCCAGGTCGTGACAGTTTTCCAATTACTTTTTGAGAAAATAATGTTTGACTGTATGTGCTAGTTTTTTGAAACCTCACCTTTGATTTTAGATCTTAGAAGGGAAAAAATGGTTTGAGAGAAAATTTATATTCTATCTTTATCATTGACGTCTCCAATAATATAAGGACTATTTAAGGGAATTGTATCCACATAATGTCTGAGATTCAACCCTATCCGTCCTTGACTAGAAAAACACAGAAGAAAAAGGGAAAAAATAGATATATAGATCCCTGTGACAAAGAGTAGCGGCGTATGTGAAAGAGTTATAAAAAAAAAAAGGTGCTAATAAGACCAAACCGCATATTCGGCCACCGACTGCCAAAGAGCAAAATAGCTGTCGGTGAGCACGTTCCAGTGGGTACCCCATGTGCACTCAATTGCCAATGCTGCCTCTCGACTACTACTTATTGAACACACACATTGCCCGGTCCCACTATGACCGCCGACACGTTCTTCAACTTTCTGTTTTTAACTCATGGGTTACTTTTATCTATATAGCCTGGTCTCAACTCTCAAACCTCAATCAGTAGGAACACTCATTCCGAGGAGATGATACGGCAATTGTTTTTTTGTGTTACAAGTTGGAAAACTTGATGATCATTAATTTCAGTAGCTACTAGGTTTCTAAGGATATACGTACTCATATTACTCCCCAGGTTGTTGGTTTCAAATCGATCAAAATAGGACCCTCGCGGTTATTGTTTGAGAATCAACACGTTTAAACAAAAGACTATACTACTGCATTTGATTAGAGACATATATGCAAAGGCTGAATCCAATCGGACGGTGACTTTAATTTTTGGCCAACAAAATTTACATTTATACATAAATCAAACGGAGAAAGTACATAATATGACATAAAGCACAAGAATGGTACTGGAAAAGAATTACAAGGACAACGAAGAGGGGGAAAACCAAAAATTAATACAACGGCATGATCAGGCTCGGATTGGTTTCACTTTCACTCAACTAGCATTCTGTGCCTGTGTAGCTGCTCCGTTCGACTATACGATGAAGATGAATGCAATGCTTCCAGGAACAGGGGACCGCTATGAATTAATTCAATTTCTACTAATTTATACATTTATACGTACTCACCACAAATTATACTTTAACATGGATATATAAAGTAGTACTACGAAGCACATTTACTGTGTCTGCCTGCATAATGAGACGTACATTTTAACTCCCCGATCGATCTATGATTTGGCAACCACTCGAATCTATCAACAACTTGGAATCAATCAATGAATGAACCAACATCACAAAAAGAGCTTATAGATCTTCCAAAAGAAATGGTAATTTGACGCATGCATATATATATATATATGATCAGTTTGTCATTGCCTTGCCGTCATCGAAGTTCTTGGAGTAGTTGAAAGAGTCATAGCGGAAGGTTTGAGGTAGACCGACGTTGTTGTCGGAGCGGACGAACCTCCGCAGCTCCGACCTTACTTTGTAAAACACGTGCCTCAAACTGCCTCTGCTGTGGCATCCCAATACGGCTTTCTCCTCTTCGTTCATTTCCAGATCCTGGGCGAACGTGGGCTTCTTGGACATGATCCAGCCCAATCCCCACTCCCACCATTTCCTTATCGAACTGCCAGCGTATTCTCCCATTCCGGCTGATAAAGAGGACAAGGATTTGGATCGGCGAAATGCCCATGAGGAGGAAGAGGTGTTAGAGGTGGAGTAGAATGAGAGGATGGGTTGTTGACAAGCAGACCTCGCGCGCATGTTGATCCTTAGGGAGAGTGAAGACAGCCTTTTGCGGACGCCAAGTCCTCCTCCTGCTGTTTCTTCTGCAGGTTGCGACATCGGCAGAGCTTCCTTGCTCTGAAAACTCTGAAGAAGAGAGCTCATGGTTTATGATTAATGGGATTCGGTGGTGATGAAGAGGGAAATTAATGTAGTTCAGATGGGGCTTTCCTTTCGGAGAGAAATGATATGAAACCCCCCAACTAAAAACTACTCAGCATTTTAAACAAGGTGAGTGGTGACAAGTAGTGGTCATCACTCACCACCGTCACCCGCACATTCCTACGTTTTCCCTTCACATTCATTGACAGCCTGTTATATTCTCCTTATTTATTTATTTATTTATGAGACTCTTTTGCCCCTCAACTTCCCATTTGTGACCAACGGCCAGCACTACTACAGGTTGTACACATTCAATCTATAATGCATATGAAAATCCAAAGCTGTGCCCTTGGAGTTGCTTTTATCACGATAATTTTAAGGTAACCGTTACCCCCCTAACTTTTTCCTCATTTCACCTATTTATGTCAAAGAAGAAAGCTTATTATCTGCCAGTAATTAAGTGGAGCCAGTCATTTGGCGTTCTCAAGTGTCATCATTTACTGCAGTTGAACGCTGAGGTGAACCACATCGATACGGGAACCCCGACATCCTTGTCTCGTCAAAAGCGTATTGAAGGTGCCATGGATTAAGATTTTCCAGCGCAACGACAGCCTTAACTCCTTGTGCAGCGAAAGTTACAAACTCGCGAGGAGAGATGAGGTGTTTCACATTTGTCTTATCAGTCAATGCACTTGTATGCAACATGTACTAAAAACGAGCCATTATGGTACGTATGACAAAATAAACATGACTCCATAATAGAACAGCTAACCACTAGTGTTTACCCTAAAATTTGGATAATGATTTTAATGATATGTGATTTCATCCAATACCAATTAATAAACGAGAAAGAAAGTGACTGAATTAAACTGTAAAATAAATCAAACCAGTGTGCAAACTGAACCTCGACCTCGAATTAAAATACTCTCGAGGTGATAATAGTATAAGAACAGCAAAGAATGAATAACTCTGATGAACAGTAAGTAGAATAGTAAGCAAAACCGAAATGATTGTATATCTTTTTCTCAGTAAATAATGATGATTACAAATCGCTTGAATTCCTCTTTATATAGTAGAGGAATCCTAATTATGGTATACTTCTAATTACAGAAGGAAATCGTATAAACAACTGATTAACCGCTACTGATTTGATCCGTTCCGAGATTCACGCCACGATTCTCGACCAATCACGGATATTTCGCCCTTTCCGTTATTAAGCTATCCCGATGTTACTCGAAGTCTATCTCTTCTGGCTTCGATTGATACCGACCTCGATCTAGAAAGAGGGTTCGATGTTGGACCCTATGTATCAGCTCTTCGATGCAACGTCCCAGTCTCGATCAAATAATGAAATCGGGTAGCCCCGATTTCTATCGTATACAACTAGAATTCAGAATGGCTTCACCGAACCAATCGACTACCAAGCTATTTTCCTTTTAGATATCTCTCCTGCTGTTATTGCCTCAGAATGACAGTAATTTACAGTTTTAGCAATTTAAACCAAACAGCCATCCTGAATGCCCATCCAACTGCTAACAACATATCTTGTAGCTTTATACCACTTATCACTACGCGCTGGAACAAATACTAGGTCAGAGCAGATCAAGTTGCAGCTGGCATACCCTGCACTCACATGTTTACAACAGCAATAGACAAAAAGGCTTCATAGACAACTAACCATCTTAAACTGGTTTTTGCAGTATTCTTACAAGTGATGTCGACAAAAGTGTCTTGCAATAATTTTAGTTTGTTGCCTTAATCTTGCAAGTGATATCTAGTAAATTATTTTACAAGAATCTTTTGTTTGTTGAGCGTGCCCAATTGTAGGATATAAGTAGTCAATAACTACATCTATTCCATGATTTCGTTATAGTTGAACACGCAATCATAAAGCCTTCCTCCAAGAAACTNGAATTGAGCATATAGGTTTGTCTCTATACCACGACCCTGGCAAAAGAAATCAATATGATAGTTAAAAAGTGAGAGAGATATTTTATGGAAATTACAATTTCCTTAAAAGACAAGTCGAAGAATATTGCCAAATGCCAAAAAAAATGTTCACTTTGTTTCGATATTGTCAAATGCCCATATGAAGCAACTTGGAAGAAAGTCATAATAATTTACAAGTTCCAAGCTACAAGGTACCTGAGGAAGAACTACCACCTCAGTCTTAATTTATGTGAAACGGTCTGGTTGTTAAGTCAAATCACTTAATAATATTCAGGAATAATTCGTTTTAAACTTAAAAATACAGGAAATCTATACACATAAACAAACACTGATCCAATAAGAGATAAAGGTCCAAGATCAATAAAAATCATGGATGAAATAATCACTACTAAAAAATTGGCTAATTTCGTCTAGGAAAACCGATCGAAATCGATCCGAAATTGAGAAAAAGCGATCGATTTCCGACCGCTTTTAATTAGTCAGAAAAATGATGGTCGCTAAGGTGTTTCGACCGAAATCGGTCGGAAATTTCAATGTGTTGACTAACAGTCAAACTACATTTACCGACCGAAATCGGTCTGTATTAAATAAATTTTTTTTATTTAATTTAGAAAATACCGACCGAAATCGGTCTGTATTAAATAAATTTTTTTTATTTAATTTAGAAAATACCGACCGAAATCGGTCGGTATTAATTAAATTTTATTTTATTTAATTTTCAAAATACCGACCGAAATCGGTCGGTATTAATTATTTATTTTTTTATTTAACTTTCAAAATACCGACCGAAATCGGTCGGTATTAATTATTTATTTTTTTATTTAACTTTCAAAATACCGACCGAAATCGGTCGGAAATATATAATAATTTTAAAAATATTCCAGATATATTTTTTTTTGTATCGCATGTATACTCCCCAGGCCGAGATATATTATCATTATTATTTTATTGAATTCTAATTCTAAATATAGAACATTAAATCTTATTACTAAGCACTAACTACAACCCTTTCTATATTTGCTTATTTTTTGTTAGTCCACAACTGTTGGACTCTATGCATCAAAGCTCAACTTATAAGATGGAAAAGCTCACTTCTTTCAGCCGATGTGGGACAAGAGTATTTCCCAATTTCCGACCGAAATTGGTCAGAATTTTTGAAAAATTATAATAAAAAATTATTTTCCTATTTCAGTCGATGTGGGACAAGAAAATAATTTCAAATTCCGACCGAAATCGGTCGGAATTTATGAAAACATTTAATAAAAAATTATTTTTTCATGGAAAAACCCACTACTTCTCTTCCCATGGAATATTTATTTACTAATCTATCTATTTTATTATTTGTTTGTTTCTTTCTTTTTTATGAAAAAAAGAGTGCATTAAATAAGAATTCCATAAATCAATAAAAAATCATTTTAAGTGAATAAAATTATGATTACATTTTAATGTAAAAATATGCTTAGTTATGTTTTCTAAAATTTCATTTATTATAATGAAATAACACATTAATTGTTTTATATAAAAAAATATATTAACTAACCAGAATTAAATATAT